ACCTTGTGTGAAAGTTTCACGTTCAATGTCGCAAACAACCCAAAAAATATTTTTTGGTCATCGTCGTCGTTGAAGAGGTCGACCCCCAGATCCAGTTTGGCTGGTAGCGACATTGCGAAATCTGGGATTGGCCACGATCAACTTGAAACTTTCACACAAGGTGCTGTTGGCCAAGCCGAGCACATTGCTCTATTCAAAACCCCACGTTTGATTGTGAAATCTTGAGATACAAGTGCCTTTATGTTTTGCATATGCTGTAAGCGTAATGGAATTGCTTTCTCCTAATGGATGGTGTCGGCTGCATTAACGGAAAGATGGAGAGCTGAGTGAAACCGCACGTGGTGGTTACACAAACACGTCCTTGATAGGTTGCTGCACAAATGCATGATGAAGATGATTGCCTTTTGTGAAGGTGCGTATACAACATCTAATAAAGCAGATCTATCAATGTGATGGTTTATACGCGCATATGTCACAGATGGATGCGTGCATATAATATACTCACGTTGGGTATTGGGGGAGGGGTTGAACTGCATAAAATGATTTAAGCTGCATTGATACGCACGGGCCTACTGTAACTGACGCCGTCCCCTACCATACAAGTGGAATTATGAATGACTTGATTACAAGGAACGTGTTCTATTGAAATCTCGAGTAGTGGTTATGTATTCTTATTGCATCAAATGTATAGGTTAGGATATTGTTGGCGTGCATGTTCACAGCAATAACTGCAGCAGGCGGGGTGGGGTGGGTGGAGTGCACAAATTGAGAACAACGAGAGCGAAGACAAAGAACACCTTCTCCTCTTCCGCTTCACAAAGCAAGGTAAGCTTGTCTCCATTTACAAACTACAACACATTAACAGCTAGCGTCCCTTTCAATGTACAGCGTCATTTTGGGTGAACAGGTGGTCGACACCGACACTTTCCAGTTCCAGACATTCAACAACAAGTATACGCGCGCGATCTACCCATGACTCAAGCTTCCATTGCAAGACAACATGTACGTTCAATTGCTGCAGCTCTTTTATTATTAGGTGGGACATTGTGGTCTAAGGTTCGCGTGTAGGTTGCTATTCTCTCGTTCATACAGGATCTAAAAGGGGCATTCGCATGTGTTCGATCCCGAGCTGTCCACAAAGAGAGTTCCCAACACGTCTTTACACTACTTCTTTTGGGTATGCTGGCAAGGAAAACAAAAGCCGGGGTTGTCATCTCACATTGCATTTATCATAGATCGAACACGTTGGATGGTGGTACCCGTGGCAGCAACAAGAAGGCTTTGATATCAAAGGAAGAACGCTGTACGTTGGCTCAATGGTACGCATGGTATTGGATCTACAAAGCAAAGCCTATTAATTAACGATCGTTACAAAGTAACAGCAGCAGAAGCACATTATGGATGGAATGCGGTTATTGGAAGCATGAACGCCATTGAGAAATATCCAAGGTAAAATTGTTCAATCCGGGATTTGTCACCTTTCCAGTGCACTGATGAAAGCAATAGGCTCTCTTTCGGCGATATTATTATTATCAAACAGCACGTCAAGGATGTCATTGTACTGTACTCTCCAGGGGAGACGATCATGTTGTGCTAGCGGAAACAGTGCGACTCAAGTTGCCACCTCAGGGTTTAAACATGCATCCTCTGTTCGCACGGCTCCATCGTTCTATGGCTATTGATTTCCTCGCCTTTAGAGATAAGATGGGTATCTCTATTGACGCGCAACATGTGGGATCCACGGCTCATTGTGGTGTCAAAGTCGGCTGGTGAAGGGCTCATGGTCTCTGGTAAATCTGGTGTTTTGATCCACGTCCTTTGGGAGTGAGCTAGAGGAGAGTACTGGTACTGTGACATTCCTTGATGTGGTACTTTATTATTACATTGCACTCGGGTGGCCCACCTAAGTCAAGTTTGCGTGATCGTTGAGGTTCTGGTATGTATGATTCTGATGCTTTTAGGAAAAACTCTGCTGAAACGCCTGCTATTTACATTTAGAGGACCACTGGAAGCAGCTGATATTTATGCCCAAGTCTTATACCATGCTATCATTGCCGTCATCATTGGTAAGTATCGTTCTAGTGCAATGGAAAATGGTTGTGTGTCTTATCGAGGTGGATTATCTTACAACGCGCAACGTGAATTTGCTGGAATCGAGTTTATTTGAATACCCTATGGTTGATGTTGGTAAGTGTTCTTCCCATTGTTTCATGTACCTGCTAATGTGTTATTGTATTACAGTTGTTGTCTATAGCAGAGATCCACTTGTCTTTTGGTGTCGTGTTGAAGTTTACAAGGTCACAGCTATGATTGCTAAGTATTGTTGGATGAGTTTGGAATGAGTCGTTTACTGTGCATCTTTTATAGGCGAATCATGCCAGCCATGGGGAGGAGTGTCTATATCTTTTGGTGGTGTCAATATTCATTGCGTCTCGGGTGGCTGGTTACCATGCAACGGGCGATTTCTTTGGAGAATATCAGTCAATGCACGTCTCTTGGAGTGGTATGGTATCAGCAACAAACAACAACATCTATACCGTTGGTGTCATATCAAGCTTTATCCTATCATCTGTTACTTCTTGTTATTGACAATTCGGTGGGCATCCTGAAATGAAGATCTCTTATCAATTGATCACGTCAGCAGCAAGGAGCAACTTGTATACCTTTGCTGTCAGCAAGCTTTCCATCTCCTGGAGGTTCTGGTTATCGGCAATCCCTGTGATTCACGGCTGTCATTAAATGTCTCTTATGGATGGATCATGTCATCAACAAGCAATGAGAGTCAGCGTCGACACCTTTAGTGATACCAAGGCCATCTATGCATCTCTCCAAGGTTGACGCCAATACTTGAGGTATCCAACTACGCATACCTGTTATCGGTGGATCATATCAGCACAATCACGAAGCAGCAATCAGCAACCGAGGCTATGATATTCGTAGTGTCAGCAACATTTACTCGATCCTCTGGTGATTCTCGCTATTGGCCAATTGCTTTCAAGAGCATTCAGCAGCGCGTGTCTCTTATGGGTGTCACATTAGCAACAAGCAACATTGAGTCGTGTCTTTTCTGTGCTATCAAGGTTTATCCATCGCTCAAGGCATTCGTCGTCAAGTATAGCTCCTTTCCTTTGAAAAAGACTATCAGCATTGGTCATTGTATGGACATCTCTGCAGCAGGGAAATTGGTTTTGGCTCCTGGGATGGCATCAGGCATCGTAGACTTTCGTATGGCTCTGGCTAAGTATTGTTCCCAGTACGTCGAACTTGAATTAGTAATAGCGCATTTATAGATCCATCATTCCTTCAAGTTACCTTTGTGTATATTCCTTGGTGTCATGAAAATGTATCTGGTTTCCTTACAGCTGTCAGTGGCGATCCTATTGCTTCGAAGACGACGATCAGCATTTGAATTTGGGTGGATTTCTCGGAAGCAAGCAATCGATCTCTGATACATGAGGATATTGGATCATCAATGGCTATGGTTGTCAAGGGATACCGTTTCAATGGTTTTGGGAAATCAGCCACGTTACTTTACTCAAAAAGGGATGCTTGTCGCCAACATTTCGAATTGGATAAAACAGCACCATTGTCACTGACCAAAAGGCTGGATACACAAATCAAGTTCCGAGTATGTTTGAGCGCAATCTTTGGCAATGTTGATAACGATACCACAAAGAACAGTGAATCAACTCCAACAAGAGTGCCGAGATTATACCAAAGAAGCCATCATTCCAACTCATTTTACGATTGCCGTATCCATGAACGATTACATGCACCCACCATCATCTAGACTCGACTCTTAGATAGCTAGATCTTAGGTTCCATTATGCGAGCTCTTCTTTAAAATAAATCTTATTGCATCGAGCAAGGAGTATCAACCATTCTTAGAGTCTCTTTATTACAACATGGTATACACACACATCACTGATACCGATGCATAGGCAAAGCTAAGATGGGGTTTGAAAACCTGTATGATTGATTCCTTGATGTATTTATCCTATCTGTAGTAGGGGATAATACGCACACCAAAGTCAAAGATGATACAGCAATGGGTGGCTAAGATGTCTTCTGTGACTATGCAATAAATCCATTCATTACGCATGTCTTTTAAAGCTGATCAATGACTACATCATACGAATCAAAGTAAGAGATACCCATCCAGTATCAATTCTAGGCCATGTATGATGCATCTCATCGAATCTACCTTATTCGTCATCTTTCCTCGAATCAGCAACCTGAACCGTTTTACAGCCCAAAGCAACAGCTTATGATCATTAACCTTCCTGTATGCAGGATGTGTATCCGTACACCATAACAGGTCAACCACCCCGCGGGGCGGATACAAGCATAGGGATGGAAAAAGTGAAGTTATTTGTGATATATTGCGAGCATTATTCGAAAACGGAAAGCTTCCGAAACAACTGGTATTTAATCACAGGCATATAGAGTAGTATGATAAGTCAAAGAGAATGATCATAGGACAAGCAAGGGGTATCTCCCTAGGGTACAGCGGGGAAAGAATAAAGAGAGAGGTCTTGCAGGAAATCCAAGTTAAGGAGGTGGTGGAGGTAACCCGATCTCTCTTTCTTCAAACCCGTGTATATATATAGCATCAGCGTTCTTTGTTCCTTTGATTTCTTTATTCCTTTATTTCACTTTTCACACTCGCACAAAATGAAACTTGTCTCATTGCTATCGTTGGCTGCATTTGTTTGCTCTGGAGCAGTTGCTCAACAACAACCAGGTCAAAGTGCTGGTATTGCCATCACCGCCCCTGCTTTAGGTGTAAGTTGTTTTCCATTCTATACGAATACCACGTTGTGGTAGTTGTATCATGCATGATCCCAAACTCATTTGTGCCTATCAAAAGACTGTTTGGACAGCTGGCAAGACCGAGGTGGTGTCCTGGTAATAAGGAGACTGATTTGGATGACACAAAAACTAGTATACTTATGATTTGTAATATAGGACAGTGCAAGATTCGACCGTTTCGAACATTGATTCGGTGGAATTGAGAAATGGCGGTTCGACAAACTTGCAGCTTGTTGGTCAAGTTGGATCCAAGATTCCTATTTCAGGCGGGCAATGGGAGTGGGATATTCCTGTTGACACCAAGACGGATGCATCTTGTAAGTTTTTGGAAATGCATGCATTTCTTCTTGTCAACCAGTAAGCTCATGCATATGTAAACACACGCACACAGACGTTTTGGTGTTTACAAGCAGCAAGGGATCCACCTATTCGCCATACTTTACCATCATGGCAGCTCCGCCTGGTGCCAAGGCCAACTTTACTTCTCACAAAGCGAGTAGCAGTGCATCAGCTTCAGGAGCAGAAGCATCGTCATCCGAACATTCATCAGCATCGCAAGATTTGGCGATCCAACAAACAACTATGATGCTTGGACTTGGTGCAAGCTTGGTTGCTGCCTTCTTCTTTTCAATTTAGGGCACCTTGAACGTTATACATATATCACACACATTTGGCATTCCTCCCTCCTCATGTGCGTGTGATGTATTTTTATCCCATTTATTTTTCCAGCATTGCTCAATCAACTAAGCTATTACGTATCTTATTGACTTGTCCTCCTTAATAAAGATCTTCCCTTCTTGTAACAAACCATAGCACAGGGGTGACTCTTTGGATGTTGCATACCATGTGTTTATATATACTTTGTCCATACATCACGTAAAAGGCGAAAGGCAAAAAGCAAAACGAAAGATACGGGGGATACAGGTGGTACAGGTGGTGGAAATACGTTGAAAACACAAAAAGAAGAAATGCATATGTGCAAAGAAGGGGGTAACTACAAGATAGTACAATGGGAGAAGATGGAGGATAAAGTATACCAAGAAAAAAAGCACATCAACTAGAAAAAAAAACACTTTCAAACATCAAGAGTGAGATAGAAAGAAGAAATGGTAATACAAAGTAGGTATAGAAGAATGAAAGTGATGCTTGTAAAAGACACACGTTATAACACGGAAGACCAATTAAACCCATCAGCGCTGTGGTTGGTGAGACCAGCAGCAGCGGCAGCTGCTGCAGCTGCTGCTACACCATTATCGGCAACGCTATCCTTATTATCATCCGATGTCGTTGCTTCTTGCTTGATTGATGTAGTAGTAGTATCCACTTCCATAGCCTTGTCTGAGGTGGACGATGCTGGATTGTAAGCAGTCGTTGATGGCTTGTTGCTGTCAAGTAAGTTCATGTGATGATGTGAACATGATTGGCTGGAATACGTTGGGGAAGGTGGTGGCTGTGAAGATGTACCATCGGATGGCTGCTGACGCTGTTGCTGTTGAATAGGGGCTGGTTGATGTGAAAGGGCTGATGGCACATCCATCGAATGACGATGATGTTGCAAATCATGAGTACCACCACTTGTGGCTGCTGATGCGGTAGCAGAAGGTGTCCAATTCATGGTAGGTGACGATGATGGTGGTGTGGTAATAGTAGGCTGCTCATGTTGTTGTTGCTGCTGAGTATACATTGTTGGAGGTCGTGACAATGGATGATGCATGTCATCTACTGCTGCAACTGCTGCTGCTGTACCATAACCATAAGGTGTATACATTGCTTGATTGTATTGCCCATTGCCTGTACCATTAGGAGTCGTTGGACTTGTGGCAGCATACATGGATGCAAATGCACTATTTGTAACGGGAACAGGTGTCGTAGGTTCCAAGGTTGCATTGCTAGTGTTCAAAGAAGGTGGTTGTTGTTGATGATGATAATGCGATGGGGTATGCAATCCATTATCAAAATAGTAAGGATCGTATGCTGCATACATATGCAAGAACCAATTTTAGTGATACATTTTCTCAATGTTATGCGTAGTATTTACCTCCAGTAGCGCACGGACCATTATGCTGACGTGACAATGGATGGCTATTTGCCGATCTGATTTGTGAATGTTGATGATGATAATGGTAATGGCGGCCATAGTAAGGATAATAACCATAGCCAGCTTGAGCACCTGTTGCAGTTGTTGAAAGTGGATTAGCTCGTGGAGCACTACCATCCGTTGACATGGATCGACCATCACGATAACGTCGACCAGCAGCAATGGATGATGTCCAAGTTTCAGGTCGATAGGGTGAAGGTGCAGGATCACTGCCTGATCGATTATTACGACCACTACGCATAGACATTGAATAACGCGATCGACGCTCTGCATCAGCTGCCGTATAATCCACTATCCAATAGGACCCTTTGCCAGGTTCATTGATGGGTCTTGCCAAACGTACAAAGCTTTTGTTGAGAGAAAGATTATGTCGAATTGAATTCTACATCATGATGGGCGTAAGAATCGTTTTGCTTATGAAGATTTTCATCCCCTTGTATATACCTTCCAACCAGTGCCAGCTGTGCTATAGTATGGGTAGTGCTCAATCACCCATTGATAAATCTCACTTAGCGTAAGCTTTTTGTTGGGACTATTCTCGATGGCGTATTTGATCAGAGTGGCGTAAGAATAAGGTGGCTTGCCCTCGGTATTTTTCTCAACATGAATATCCTTAGTTGATGGCGTGCGTTGTCGTTTCGTATTCGTTGCTGTAGTACTGCTCTTATCCAATGATCCAGAAGGCGATGGTGTTGGCTGCCCATGGTTGTGGTGAAAAGCTGTTGGGTCATGTTGTGATTGTGACGAGAGAATGTTGTTATTGCTGATATCACGCGATGACGAGTATGCTGTTGAATACCATCCGCTACTGTTATTACTACTATTGTTCGCTGCTATCGCCGTGCTATCAATCAAACTTTGAGGATAGCTGATAACAGAGCTTGTACGTCTGCTGTTGATGGATGACATGGTTGTGTCCTCTGGATGTTGATGGTCAAGAGGACTAAGATTTGTGGTAGCTGGTGGCGATGATGCATCCGGTGTATGAGCTGACGCAGTATTGATGGGTGGCAACTGAGTGCAATAATCTTGTGAAGGAGAGTTGGCAGTATTGCTATTGCCTGATGGCAAAGTAGATTGACTTGTTCCGAAAGGCTGGGTATACATTCCAGACGTAGAGCTATGCATACGCGTGGTGTCGTGTGTGGAAAAAGGAAGATGTTGATTATAAATGGGCGGATCGAAAACTAAAATGCGACAACTGTATAACAATGGATTGGCAACAATTGGATCCCTGGTAAGATGTTGTTGATGAAAGATGATGAGATTGGCGGTATACGATGATTTGGCGGCAACAACGTCAAGAAACAAAGACTTTCGAGACAAGAGGAAGAGAACAGAATTGTGTAGATTTTGTTTTAAATGAGAGGAAAAGTCGAAACGGGGGTTAGGGGGAGGGTCGTGGTTCATGGTTCATGGTCAGGTGCCTGACATTGTGTTCAAAGTGGTTAGCTCCAAACCCCCTTTTCAGTTTTAAAACTTGGGCATCCACCATTGCTGCTGATTTTATCCTCTCATATTATCATGCCTATCCTGTTCCTATCATGCAACAATACAAATTGGGATTCCCTAAACACGCGCTTCGCTAGCCCATTTACTTTTCGTTTGGGATGTGCATAAGTAATAGTGAATGGTTTATTATGGCACAAAGGCATTGTTGAGACACAAGAGCGCGCATACGGCGAAACTCTATTTGGCCATCTGGCGGTGGAGATGATGGCAAAGCGTTCCAGATGTGAGAAAAGCCGATATGGATCGGAGGACTGTGTATGTGGATAATTTCTTTTAGGTGAAGAAGCTTTTTCCTTGGGGGGAACATGGCAATGGCAAAGAAACGTGTTAAAAAAAGATGGAATGTTCCAACTGTCGAATAGTCGCAAGCTGCATAAACAAAATGCATGATCCACTTTTGGTGGTCAATACTCGCTTTTACCATCCTTTCTACTGCCACAGCTTTACTTTTATTTGCCATAGTGAACAAGCTAGCATCAAGGTCTATCCCTTCCCCCTGGGACGTTTGCAATGGTCATATCCATGTATGGAAAGCAGCGTGTGCAGCATGCGATGCAAATTGGGGGAACACCAAAAGCTCAACCCACCACGCGTGTTTGGTCCCTTAGAAGATTGGAATCCAGCACAATGATCTTGCGATTATCACATCGCCTGCACCATTCATTATTCTATTCCCTACGTAAAAAAGAATTACATGATGTGAACATGTGCAAAATACATCTAATTTACATTATGTTTCACCTCATTACACATGTTGGGGGTAAGGCAAACGTGTGTGTATGTGTGCACTAGGCGTCCTCGTTTTGGTCAGATGGATTACGCCATTGCAAAAGTGACCACAACATTTCCGTACGATAGTCCCCGGCAACAGAACAACTACCTCTTTTCTCATTGTAGATGTCCCTGTCACCTACAGCCTCATACACAAAGCAACAACAACAACATAAACAATAAAGCGAGTGCCCTTTTTCTTTTTCTGCATGATTGAATCATGAACATTAGCAGGCGGGTGTGTCCTTTTACTTGTATAAATTTGCTCAGGATTGACTCCTTTTGATTGCTTCATCACATGCTTTAGCTAATGGCTTTAATACTGGTCGCTGCAACCTTCAAGCTGGGACCTAGCTCAATATTACCCTTTCCGCTCGGATGTTTCGGGGTGGTGCCGACATGTTCTCCGTTCCCGGTCTCCTTTGCACAACACAATGTCCACGCCACCAAAAGGAGTTACTCCCATGCACACACTGCTTCCTTGGTATATCTTATCCATGTTTACGTGGTACAAATACATTTACTACTATTGTTGGTAACAAGTCTTGGGCAAAGGAAGGATGCATGTGCCACACTGTCGCATGAGATTCTCTCAAAGACTTGCAAAAAAAGTGAAACCTATTGCATGTGAGATACATGTGCTCTAATTTCTCCCCCAACTTGCCGAGTTACTGGCAGAATTGGGAAATGATTACATTGGGCATCTGTGCGATCCATTTTATTTACTGCGAGTTTGACAGCCGATCGTGTATTTGTTATAGGCCCTTTGAGTATACACATCAACAGTACAACAAATAGGGGATGATTCACTGTGATCGTCATTGTGTATATTATCACGCTTAAAGTGGTCAGTGCGAAAACCACGATCCATTCTACTTGGGTGCCTATCTCATAACCTGCCACTACCATCACCCTCGGAGTTCGGGATACACAAGAAATTCATTGTGTTGTGTGGCACGACCCATCTAAAATTGATCTCGGCAGGTTGCCCTACCATGATATCGGATGCGAGCCGTTTTTCTTTCTCCAAAATCAACATAGATCGCCCAATGTATATAGTGAATCATCATATTGTTTCCCACACATGTGATGTTGGTCATATCAAACGCCAAGCAATTGGCTTATCGAAACGTGATCTCGCTGATCCATGACCATGCCTCATCGTTTTAATCCTTCGCAATCATTATACAAGTGGTATGTATATTCCAAATCTTTTTATCGTATGTGTGTATGTGTGTATGTATGTATGTGTGTGTGTGTGTGTGTGTGTTGTGTGCGTTGTGTGTTGAGTACTAGCTATATCCATATATGGGCTATTAACCGGCCCCGCTGTCATTTGCGTGTGTGCATCACGAGCGTACGTGCCAGCCCATATTTGCCGTGTAATCTCGGGTTGTGCGATACTTTCATTAAACGTTGTATACCAAAATGGGCTTGGCTATTGTAATTGAATAGGCAGGAAATTACCCACAATCACTGTCTGTAAAAAGCAAGTGATCAAGATTCTTGTCCTTCGTACAAATGAAAGCTATCCCACCCCCACCCTATTCCTCCTCTATCAACACCTACCGGTATATTGTATTTGTCCCTTCGAATCGTAAATGAAAAGCAACAGGATATAAATGATGATTGAGTAGAAGGACCTTGATTCTTGAGAAGACAAGACGTCAACACAGCCTTTTGACCAGAATCGAATGCAATGTTGCCGTATTTCTATTGACCATGAAAAGATCAGCACAACCACCATCTTTGGAGACCATGGGAAAAAAAGCCGATGTTGTGTGTTACCTCCCAATAATTCACCATTGCATCCTCCGCCATTAGCTCATAGATACAAAGCCGTCCCTGTGGTAGATAAGGAGTCAGCACTTGCAAAGCCAAGAGTACACGGATATACCCCATATCTTACCTCACGTAAAGTTTCGATCGGTACATTGACTAATGATGCAAATTCCTTATTACCCTTGTAGATCTCGCCTGTACGACGCCAAAGGCAAGCTGGTATACCCATCGAACTAAATACACGATCATAGTCCTAAGGCAAAGAATAAATCCACTACCCCTGCTGTTCACCATTCAGCATTAACACTTACTAATAATAATCGTTCAAAAGCCTCTTCCACAAGAATAAGATCCAGATCGGTGAGTGATTGTGCAACGGATCGGAATGCTGGTCGGAAAGTGCCCATCACATTAAGGATACGCTGACGGCTGGCGGCTGATAAGCTAAATACAGAAATGAAAGCGAGTATTAATTCCCTAGTCCGACAACTTCTTGCATCACTTACTTGTTATCCATATACTTTTGAAGGCGTGCATAACCATTAACATAATTATACGGCTTCAAGAATCCAGCCTCGTATTTCGCATTGATAACTTCAGTCAAACGATCTTCAAGTCGACCATCAGAAGGATCGGCAGCTGTTAGATAAAATTTTTCTGTTGTATTCACCAAAGAGGATCGTGGTTGCTGCTGCTGCTGCTGTTGTTGATGTTGTTGTTGCGGAGAGGAAGATGAAGATGAAGATTGTAACAACGCATTCATATCCGATTTGCCAAGAGAATCCAAGAACTTGCTATGTAATCATCACATTAATTCATCATCCTTAAGCACTATACCCATTTTCAAATACCTGATAACCGAGATTTCATTACCCATCTGCTCACTAGCAAATGTAAGCTGCCCTGTACCCATTTGCCCAAAGAACTGCAAAGGCAATCCACCCAATGTGCTGTTGACACTGCCAAAAGCCGGATTTTGTTGCTGTGAAAAGGCAAGATGCGATTGTGCTGATGTGCTGTTATTCGACGTTGATGCATTATTGGTAGATGCTGCTGACATTCGCTTGTTGCCACCCTTTCCTTGTGAGTTCTTGGGCTCATCATGACAAAGATGACCAATATTGCGTTTGATACAACGTTGACAAGGACGACCTATCGACGCCCATGATCAGGCACGCTCCATCCTTGTTTCCCTATCCCTTCTTACCTTCATCACAAGTCATGTGCGATCGACGACAATACACGCAGGCTATATGATACAATCAACGAGAGCAATGAGCACATGCTGTATGGCATTCAAGAGAGAAATGGGGTATACCATGCGTCACTTTGCGCCGTTTAGGTCCTGTGCGTTTGGTCTTCTTGTTGGTGGTGCTGTTATCTTGAGTTTCATTTGCTGGTTTGGTCGATGTGGACGAGGAGGAGGCATCACGGTTGTTGTTGTTGGAGGAGGACAAGTCATTTTGTTGTTGTGGACCTGATTGGGAATCGCCACTGGATTGTTGTTGTACCCAACTGGAGTCTTGGACAGAGTTGGACATGTTGTTAATAAAGGGAAAGAGGGGAAAGTATTATTTGGTCTTGAAGGAAAGGAACAGGGCGAAAAAGAACAACGTGCACACGTTTCGAAACCTTATTTCACATCACCCGCTCAATGCATCTATTTTCTTTCTCGTGTGATACAAAGGGGTCAAACTCAAAAATACCCACCGTTGTCGGAGGCCTACTATAGACCCTGATTCTATTTGATAGATCACTACCATTATTATGCATCAAACATCATCGGGATCGTCTTTATTTGTCCATCTGCTCATATAAATGATAACGAACACTGCCTGGGGGGTTACGTTATACATAAGAAAATGAGAATGAGAATAGAGCAGACACTCACTAGTAGTTGATGGCATCTCTATGGTTGAGTACAACAATGAAAGATAAGAAAGAAGTAATCATTGTAACTCGCTAAGAGGGTACCATGATATTGTACAAGTCAAGGACTTGATTCATGTAGTATTCAAAGCTTGTAGATGACGAGTTACTCAACGCTTGATAATGCTCTCTTTACTCCTTGCCGTAACATGGATTCATTAACGTTGACCACTATTCCCACACAATCATCCTTGCCTAGACCTCCGATTTGTTTCAAAGCGCTGATCCAGCTGCGTCTGTATTCTTGTCATAATACGAAATTACGCTGTATTCAGTCAACCCTATATTTGAATCAAGGATCAGAAACCCTTATTAGAGCAATTTACGTCGTAAAAGCACAACTCCAATATCATTCTCTGATTGTGGAAAAGCTACTGTGGTGGTATAGTATTCTACAACCGTATCACGCAAAACACCATTTTTCCGTGGTTTACCAGGTGCATCGACACATTACACAATCCATTTTCTTCCTTTCATCTAGCACCAATCCAAATCAGACGTTATTACTTTATACCACATGCTTGGTATTCACATCATCGATGGACGCTATTAGCTCCAAAGCCTGTTCTCGATCAACGATGTATGCTACGTAACAAGTACGTTGTGGTACCTCATGCGTTTTATCGAGTGTAGTAGTACACATCCATGCTAATAGCGTTTGACATCAAGACACAGAATCTTGCATCCTAGTCATTGGCAGTTACAGCTCGCTATTGGAAGGTAGAAAATGAACAAGCAGCGACCATACACATGGTCATTACGGCATAAACTGAAGGTACGGCGTAGTATCGGGGCATCAATCAATCGCGCACAAGCAGAGATCATGAAACTATCGAGCCACGTGGTAACAGGAAATCACCAAGACTCCCCTTCCTTCATATCGCAAATGTGTGGTTGCACAAAACCCCGTTCATTGTGATAGTGATGTGCATGATGGAAGATTCATTATAGACGTCTTTGATGATATGCAGAAGAAGATCCATATACAATGAACAACTCTTTATTACAATGTCTCTTAGGGATTATACAAAATGAACCTTGATGTACAATGATCGATAGAAAGGGGGTCGATGGAGAAGGGATAATGATAATAATGATAAACGACGATGATGATGGATATCACTCACACAAGAAAAAAGGCCTATTCAGGGATCATGCATGATCTCGATGATGATGATGATGATGAGTTGTTGTGCATGGATGCAATGACATTAAACAGTTAACCGAATGAAAAAAGTATCCGCACTACATGCTTGGCACCAAACGCATGGTTCTTCACCAAAAGCAGCAAGTCCATGAACGTGCTTGGATTGTTCTCTTTTCCTCTTTTTCTCACTCTCTTTTTTCTTTTTTCCAACTTTGTTTCACTCATCCTCCGTCAACAATGGCCAAAAAGTCAAAACAGTCGTTGCCATTGCACAAAGTCATCATGGTCGGCTCTGGTGGTGTCGGCAAGTCGGCCTTGACCTTGCAGTACATGTACGGCGATTTTGTTGAAGAATACGACCCGACCAAAGCAGATTGTAAATGGGGGATTGCCAAGACTTTTATACAACATGCCATATTCACTTTATTGTAGCTTATCGTAAAAAGGTTATGCTGGATGGACAAGAATGTCAAATTGATATTTTGGATACTGCTGGTCAGGAAGAATATGCAGCTGTAAGTTGTGTGTGGGTCTGTAGGGAGGAGGGCATAATAGGGAAATATTGACACACATGGTACTTAGATCCGTGACAATTATTACCGGTCGGGAGAAGGCTTCTTGTGTGTTTTCTCTGTATGCGAGCATGAATCATTTGAGCATACTCAAGAATTCCGAGATCAAATCTTGCGTGTATTGGATGATGATACGGTATGGTTATCATAGTAGTGGATGCTATTAGAATAGTAACCTTGACTTTATGTGGTTCATAGATACCATTTATTCTCGTTGGTAACAAGGTGGATTTGGCTCATTTACGCAAGGTGCCATCTAGCGAAGCACAACAGCTGGCGCAGGAATGGGGTTGCCCTTATTTGGAGACATCTGCCAAGACAAGACAAAATGTGGATGAAGTTTACACCATGTTGATGCGAAGTATCAGGGATCGAAAAGCACAGATGAACATGGGAGATGGTAAATCAAAGAAGGGCAAGTGCATTGTTATGTAATCGTCACTTTCAAATCAATCACACCTATCCATCATTACAACACACTCACACTCAACAACACACATTCGGCACACCACAACGACAACAACAATTATCATCCATCATCCTCCTCCTACTCCCTCGTCTCTCCTCCCTTCATATTATCTCTCGCTGGTTTACACATTCACATCTTCTTTCCTCATCTCGCTTCTTTTGTTTTTTGCGCACTTGCTAATAGACAATGGGGTTTATCCTTGTTTCCTGCATATTGTTTGTTGAATGTTTCCACGTGTAGAAAATGAGTGATACGGGATCGATTTGTTTCATCATGGACACGCTATGTGAATCATTGTACCTGATGATACCATACGTATTTGTTTGCGTTGCGCACAGATCATGTTGTTGTTGCTGCTGCTGCTTCACAAGGCCAAGTTTGTATTATGACAATGATACGCGGCGGTTTGTTTTGTTGTTTGAAGCAATAAGAAACGACGTGAACTTAAAGGATGTCTAATAAATGTGACGTTTCAAGATTGAAGTATCAAAAAAAGATAGATGGAAAAAGAAAAGCTCTCTATTCGTCAAAGGAGCTTTATTAAATTTCCCATTTGCAAGTGTAAAGTACATACACCGACAACGAGTATGGGATCTTTACACTCACTATCCTTCCCCCTGATCGCAACCTTCCATTTTATTTTGGGGGGAGGAGATATGTCAGTGAGTGGTCAAACGAAGCGATTGTAAGCAAACTTTTGCATATATTATTTTTTCCCTTGTCTTGCATCTTCCATCATTCCAACCCCATCATCTTTTACGCATCATATGCACACATAACCCATTTCCTCCCTTTCTCTCTTTCTCTCTCTCTCTCTCTTGCTGTGCTTTTTTCCTTTCTTTGTTTTCTCTTTTTCTGTACAATCCAGATTTCATTGGCATATGCACATCATACCCACCTATCTATAATTCAACGGTTATACGATAGATCAATTTCATCGACATTTTCATCCTTTGTACGTGGAATGAGTACATGCACACACAGGATCGATTGACCTTGGTTCTCACACACAATGTATTCATTACAGGCATTTTGATATCCAATTAAGATAATGGGTGATCATTCACGGCGGTCGTCACGTCGCTACAGTATTGGTATGTGATCACGTAACAGGTATACACACAACAAGGAATACTCATATACACATGTTGATATAGATCTCCCTATGCCTGAGCTGGAGATGGAGTCTCCATCTGCCGAGACTTTATTGACAGCACTTCAATCCACGAGCTCATCACCACGATCTGACACGTATAAGCTATCACCACCTCAACAACAAAAACATAGCAACCGGCAATATCCGAATTGGCAAGCACCCGATGTCCCATTGGCAACAAACGAGATACGACGTATCTTTCGACGTTATGGACACAAGTTTGGATTCCAAGAAGATAACGTGGAGAACATGTTTGATCATCTTATGACGATGCTTGATTCTCGCACCTCACGAACAACACCACGTCGAGCATTGTGGAGTTTACATGCTGATTATATTGGTGGTGAACACGCGAATTATCGTAAATGGTATTTCGCAGCACAGCTTGGATTGGAAGATGTGGATGCCAATGTTGTTGAACCCTCATCACCTACTGGGTTGCTTGTGGAAGAAGCCAAACGAGAATGGCGTGAGAGGATGGAGAGCATGACGGATCGTACACGTGTGCAACAATTGGCTTTATTTCTTTTAATTTGGGGTGAGGCGGCAACGCTACGTTATACTCCAGAGTTGCTTTGTTTTATCTTTAAACTTGCCGATGACGCTCGTCAACAAGCCCATCAGCATCAGAATCAACCACCAGGCTTCTTTCTTGACCACATTGTGACGCCATTGTACAACTATGCCCGCAATCAGACGTACCAGCTTGTCAAGGGTCAATGTGTTCGACGCGAAAAGGATCACAACAGCATTGTGGGATACGACGACATGAACCAGTTGTTTTGGGATCGACAGGCCATAGGACGACTCATGTTACACGATGGGACGTTGCTACGCGACATTCCTTGCCATGAACGATTCACTGGACTTGCTCATGTCGACTGGGACGCTGCATTTGGCAAGACGTTCTACGAGTCAAGATCATGGTTACACGTGCTCACCAACTTTGCACGTATTTGGATTATTCATGCCGCCGTCTTTTGGTACTACATGGCTGCAAATGCGGATTTCTTGTATCTATCAGCAGCTGACGCAACTCATGAACTTCCTGTCAAGCTATCAGTGATTGGCTTAGGTGGTCTTGTGGCGGTGACGATCATGGCAGCAGCTACCATTGCAGAGTTCATGTATTTGCCTACGACATCACACACTTCACGCATCTTATTGTCACGTCTCGTCGTCTTGCTTTTGTTGGCGGCTGCTCACGTTGGTGCATCTGTTTACGTATTGTGGATCAATCGCACAGGGCGTATTGCTTTGATCGTTGGTGCTGTTCAACTTGGTCTTGGCGCTATTGTCACTTGTGCATTGGCACTGATACCATCCGCACAATTATTCAAGTCCTCAAGTCGTCAATTGACATGCAAGACTTTTACAGCAAGCTTCCCTCAAATGTCTCGAGGTGATCGATCCCTATCGGTGTTGATGTGGTTGTGTATCTTCGTTTGCAAGTGTCTTGAAGCATACTTCTTTCTGGCATTGTCTTTTCGTGATGCTCTTGCAGCTGCTAGTACCATGGAATTGAGTGATAGTGCATGTCAAGGTGACAAGTTGTTGGGCCGATATATGTGTGCTGCCATGCCAACCATTGCTAGCGTGCTGATGGTGCTCGTCGAGCTTGTACTCTTCTTTCTTGATACATATCTTTGGTACGTTGTATGGAGCACCTTGTTTTCCGTATCCCAAGCCTTTCGTATGGGTATCTCAGTCATGTCCTCTTGGCGTACTCTTTTTGCTCGTTTACCCACACACATGTATCAAAAAGTCGTGCATCAACATCCAGCTCTCACCACCGGCGTTGCTTGTGCTCAAATGTGGAATGCGATCATTATTGCCATGTATCGAGAACACTTGCTGTCAAGCCAAAACTTGCAATCTCTTCTTTATCATTGGCGACCAGCTGAAAAGGATGATGACAGTATCAGCAGCAACAGCACCAATGTGGATAAGGATCAGGATGGATATGACAACAATGGTGCAAGAGGCGAGATCACGTTACCACCTTTCTTTGATCCGGATCAGAAAATCAAAAAGGAGGATTGTTTCCCAGTGCATTCAGAAGCTGAACGTCGACTATCGTTCTTTGCACAAAGCCTGTCAACGGAGTTTCCTTTGCCGTGTTCAGTGAAACAGATGCCGACATTCACCGTGTTCACACCACATTATGCTGAAAAGATGATCTTGACGTTGCGTGAAATTATCCGTGAGGAAGATGATACTACGCGTGTCACATTGCTTGAATATCTCAAACGACTGCATCCAACTGAATGGGACAACTTTGTCAAGGATACAAAGTTTTTGGCTGAGGAAGAAGAGTACGGCAACTTATCGCATGAGCATCTTTACTCCCAATCAAGTGCTGAGAAGCTTATGGTAAGCGATTCATTATTTATCATGGTTTGACATGAACACTCACACACATACATTTGCATGTAATAGGACGACGTTCTTGATGATAAGGATGATCTGCCATTTTATTGCATTGGATTCAAATCGTCAAAGCCTGAATACACGATGCGTACGCGTATGTGGGCGTCATTACGTGCGCAAACATTGTATCGTACTGTGTCAGGATTCATGAATTATGCTCGTGCTCTCAAGATTCTATATCGCATTGAACATCCAGAGATGACCCTTGACAACAATGACATCAAGCCAACAGAGGAACGTTTGGATGCAGTCGCACATCAGAAATTCCGCTATCTGGTTGCTATGCAACGCTATTCAAAGTTTACACCCGAAGAAGCTGATAATTGTGAGACGATCTTGCGCGAGTTCCCCAATATGCAAATTGCCTACATTGATGAGGAGCCCAGTGAAGTCCCTGGTGAGCCACCCACATTTTATTCAGCTTTGATTGATGGCTATTGTCCTCGGGTACCTGGAAGTTCGTATCGACGTCAGCCACGTTACCGTATTCGATTACCTGGCAACCCCATTCTTGGTGATGGAAAATCGGATAACCAGAATCATGCAATTATCTTTTATCGTGGCGAGTATCTTCAGCTCGTTGATGCCAATCAGGACAACTATCTCGAAGAGTGTCTCAAGATACGCAACATCTTTGGCGAGTTTGAACAGTCGACCATCCCGCATGAGAAAGACATTTATGCTCTTCATCACAATAAGCATCATCGACGACGACAACGGCGTCGCCACCAAAAATCCGAGACCACTGAAAAGCATTTTGATGATGATGATGATGAGGAACATCAACAGGATCAAGCACCTATTGCTATTGTGGGCGCACGAGAATACATCTTTTCTGAAAATGTGGGCGTGCTGGGTGATGTCGCTGCAGGCAAGGAGCAAACATTTGGCACTTTGACACAACGTATTATGACCAAAGCGGGTGGACGTTTACACTATGGTCATCCGGATTTCTTGAATGCTGTATTCATGACAACACGAGGTGGTGTTAGCAAGGCACAACGTGGATTGCATTTGAATGAGGATATCTATGCTGGTATGAATGCGTTGTCAAGAGGTGGCCGTATCAAGCATACCGAATATTTGCAATGTGGCAAAGGACGTGATCTTGGCTTTTGTTCGATTCTCAACTTTACCACCAAGATTGGCACTGGCATGGGTGAGCAGATGTTGTCACGCGAATACTATTATCTCGGCACCCAATTGCCCATGGATCGATTCTTGACTTTTTACTATGCCCATCCTGGTTTCCACATGAACAACATCATGATCATGTTTGCTGTTCAGCTATTCCTATTTTGCATGACATTTGTTGGTACCATGGCGTCCTCTCTTCCTGTGTGCCGCACGTACAGCTCATCACATGCGGATTGCTTCAACGTGACACCTGTTTACGATTGGTTGCAAAGGTGCATTACAGCCATCTTTTGGGTATTCTTTATTGCATTCTTGCCTTTGTTTCTACAAGAACTTACGGAGAAGGGTACATTGAGAAGCTCGTTGCGTTTGCTCAAACAATTCTTGTCTTTGTCCCCATTGTTTGAAGTCTTTGTCAACCAAATCTATGCCAATTCGGTGCTCTCCAATCTCAGCTTTGGTGGTGCACGATACATTGCCACAGGTCGTGGATTTGCTACTTCAAGATTACCATTCTCGGTTCTTTATTCACGCTTTGCCAATCCAAGCGTCTATTTTGGTGCACGCACTATGTTTATGCTCGGCTTTGTGACCTTGACATTATGGATGCCACACTTGCTGTACTTTTGGTTCACTGTCGGCTCCTTGGTTATTTCGCCCTTTGTATTCAACCCACATCAATTTGTGCTATCGGAATTCATTGTTGATTATCGTGAGTTTCTTGGATGGTTATCACGTGGAAATGGTGCTCGATCGTATGCACATGCCTGGATCACTTTTTGTCGCCAAACACGTACACGATTTACGGGCACCAAACGTCGCAACTCAGGTCAACCAACACATCACCACGCACCACGTGCACAGCTGTCAAGTATCTTTGCCTCCGAGATTGGGATGCCACTTATACAGGCACTTTTGTGCTTATCATGCTTTGTCTTTTACAAAAGCCGGCAACACTATCACGATCAGGAATCTCCCATGGGCTTTGGTGGCGCCATTTCACGTATCGCTTATTTGACAGCAGGCCCCATTGTGTGGAACTCGATCATGTTATTGATTATGCAACTTGTTTCTCTCCTTTTGGCGGTGACTACTCGCTCCAAACGTATTGGGTTGTACACCGCTGGTGCTGCACATGGTCTTGCACTTTTTGGTTTTGTCATCTTTTTCGAGCTCTTTTGGTGGATCGAAGCATACGAGGTGCGCTCAACAGTGCTTGGTTTATTGGCCATGTTTGCTTGTGAACGATTCATTTTCAAAGCATTTACAGCCCTCTTTTTACCACGAGAGTTGCAAAATGATATCACCAACAGAATATGGTGGACAGGGCAGTGGTGTGGAAGCAAGGTATGTATATGAGACATCAGCAGCTGTAAGGGGATTATATCTTTAATGTTGCTTATGATTATAGGTTGGATTACATGGTGCTCGAGAATACGTATGCAAGATTGTTGAAATGTCGGCATTCACTACAGACTTTATCCTGGGCCACTTGATCCTCTTTGTATTGTTCCCATTTACCCTGGTGCCACGTGTTGATCGTATCCACTCGCTCATGCTGTTTTGGCTCAGACCCTCCAAGCAAATTCGACCATCAGTTCTTTCTACAAGACAACGTCAACGACGCCGTCAGATTGCACTTACTTATGGACCCATCTTTTGCCTAGTATTTATCTTTTTCCTCGCCCTCGTCACTGTTCCCCCTTATTTCATGACATCTCACTCAATCAAGTCACCTTCCATCTAAGAACTGACGCACCCCCTCATGTCACATGTTGTGTACCATCATATCATTCCCCAATCATCTAGCATAAAATATATCTTATCATCATCCATAACGTATCGAATGCTTTATCTTGATCAATGGCAACGTATAAGCATATCGTAAATGATACTGGGGTATTAGCAATGCTGTAAATAACCGAGAACACCATAAAAGACTCTATCAGAATAAGAATCTCTCCTTTATGCAGCATACAACTCGGCTCATTTATGATGCATCTTTCAGCAAGGTCAAGTCCCATCAAGGCTATCCTTCCAAGGTTACCATTAGTACCATGAAAGCTATACCTTTTATACTTTGATCTCACTTTACCTCAAATCATCATAATAGTATGTACACGTTTATGCAACCGCATTATTCCAACTCGTAGTATGCGTCTTTGCGAGGACCTGCAATCCTTTGTCATTTAGAGCTACATAAAGAGGCTGCATGTTCCCGTCCGCCCATCATCATCCCTACATTGGGACCCTCGCATTCCAAATCTTTATAAGGAAAAGTGTGGTTTTATTTGAATGAAGGTAATCAGCATGCCCTAACGAACCTTCTGACCAAGTTTTAAGTTCGAAGTGGGAAATCCCAAGGTAATACATACTGTTTCGATAAATCATGAATCCGGCGCTGACCTGTATAGTCAATTCCATATTGCATCCTCCCATTCAATATTTTATAATGAAGTGTTGGCTATTTTTTAATAATACAAAGTTGATCAGCTTTGTCCAAGAGCATCTTGTGTGGAAGTTTCAGGTTCGAGAAGGGCAACTTCATAATCAAAGATATGGACATCATGCATTTATCCAAGAGGTGTCCGACAGCTCAACCTCTTAATTTCCGGTTCTTCCACTCACCTCATTTTCTCTTTTTCCCATTCGCAACTGTTGGCCCATTCAAGTACAACTATGTACCAGCCGTGAACTGTTGTCCTTCTTCAACCCATCACGTCCATCCTACGAACGTCTTTATCCGATTGTCTTGGACCGAGAGGCAAGTTGATGGCGTGTACACAATTCTTGTCACTCTTCTACAACACACGAGTCTCTCGACACCACACACACTCTTGCACGCTTCCCTGGCACAATCCAATGTAACAGTATTCAATGCAGTAGTTGCTATCAGCAAGCTCTTTACTCCATCGTACCCAACAGCGTTCTTTACTTGCAAGCGTGTCTTACAGCTTTTTTACGTGAACAGCAGATAGCCATCATAGAGGAGCAGCAGCTTCATTGACGTGTAGCAACTTGCTTCAATACATATGACTTCTTATGGATATGGATATGGATATGGATATGGGTCTGCATACTGTATTACTTTGGTACATGTGAGATGGAAGGAATGGATCTATTGACTAGTTTGGTTCCCTTGTTGGCCCATTTTAAACGTGATGTCTAGTTTGGATGACATGCCATCAGCCATCAACAACGCCGTAATACAAGCAGTCTTCAACTGATTGAGCTGCGATGGAAAGTGAACCACGAAGAGAGTGACCAAGGGTCGATGGGAAAGGGAACGTATCAGCAGCGACCTCTGGGGCTTCTTTCTACCAACATTGGATTTGTAGTGGTTATGGCGGATGGGTTCAATCAAGGCAAGGATTATTTGTCGCGTTGTCAGAAGGATGAATCATACCATATGCATACGGCTTAGGATGATGATGGGTTGGAGGAAGCGACAAAAGGGCTTTATACCTTTGACGAAGGAAGGTGTTTCACAGCTACGGATGATATTGGAATACACGAGCCAAAGTATACAGCATCTATTTTGCAATCATGGATGAAGAATGCTCATGGCGGAAGCAATCAAGAATAGAATGGCACAATTATCCCTGTTCCCTCTATGTAATCCACCCGCTTCTTATTCAATGCTGTTCTTTTATTATCATCATATTTGCTCGATAAACATCCACAGTACCGTGTGCTGGTACGTGCTCTTCGACTTTCTATTGAGTGAAAATTGGATTCAACATAATACTTTGGGGATCGTACCATCAGCTCAGATGTGCGAGGGTGGATCACTTGGTTATTTCTGCATTGAAGGGAATGGTTATCATATATTTGGTAGGAGGTTACACAGGAGGTTACACAAGTTGGTTCAGGAGTGGACTTGCATAATTCATTGATTCATGTAATGCGCACAGACCAAATAGCTTAATTACGAGGGCTTTTCTCAATTGAAGTCTTGAGGAATGATCATTCTCATTGAGCTAAGAGCATAGGATATTGTTGAGGGTACGTATAAACAGTAATGGCTGTAGCCAGCGGGGTGGCATGGAGTGCACGAATTGGAGAGAACACGAGGAACAAAGAGGCCACTCTTCTTCACTTCCACTTCACAAAAAAGGTAAGCTTGTCTCCATTTACAAACTACAACGCGTTAATTGCTTGCATTCCTTACATTGTACAGCGCTCATTGGGTTGAACATGTGGTCAATGGCGACACTTTCCAGCTGCAGACATTTAACAGCAAGTACGCGCGCGATCTGCCCATGACTCATGCTTCCATTGCAATACAACATGTACGTTCCATCGCTGCATTACTTTACCATTCAAGCTGAACATTGAGATACTAAAGTTCACGTGTAGTTTGCTGTTCTCTCGTTATACAAGTTCCAAAGGGGGCGTCGTGTGTCGTGTGTGTTCTTTTCATGGTTGCCATCAAGGAGAGGTCCCAACACAGTGTTACTATGGGTATGTCGACATGAAAAGCGAATGCTATTGTTACCTTACACTTCATTTACTGTAGCTTGGACACGTTGGATGATGTTACCTGTGGCAGCAACAAGTTACGGATCTCAAAGCAAGAATGCTGTATGGTTGGCTCAATGGTATGCGTGGTATTGGATCTACAAAGCAAAACATGTTAATTAACGAGCCTTGCAATGAAACAGCAGCAGCATCTACTGGATGGCATGGATATACGGTTTTCATTTGAGGCAAAGATGCTATTGAGAAATACCAAGGTAAGAGTGTTCATTATGATGGGAGTGGTTGGATTCAAGTGGACTTACCAACGCCATACAGTGGCAGAGCCTCTTTCGGTGATACTATTTTGATCAATCAGCACGTCGAGGATGTCATTGTATAGTACTATGC